ATTATTTTATAGAAATTAAATGATTTAAAAATAAAGCGCTAGAAATAGCGTTTCATAAAATATTTAAAATATTTTAAAATATTTATATCAGATCAATAGATTAGATTAATACTTTTAAGTCTTCATTACAAGACTTCGCCCAATTTGACTACACTGGCATACATTCACCACTTTGCTACTAACGAAATAAAAATCAATGTCTTCTAGTTACAAACTTTGTGTCCCAACAAGGTCAATGACCCCTCTCTTTAGGTAAACCTATTGACTCCTGTAACTTGATCCATGTGTGTCTATTAACGTTTTGAACTTCGTATGGCTTGGCTGATTTTATTTGTAATTGATAAAACACTCTTTGTCGTCTTTTAACTCTTGCCGATCATTAAAAATGTAATAAATTCAAGAGGAGAGTAATCTAGCAAAGCATATGTTAACAAAAATTAAAAAAACTAAAAATTTCTCTAACCCATAGGGGACTGCACACACATACATGTATGAATATATTTGTACTTTCTTGTTGCGCATTTTCAATTTTTCTGGCATGTGAACAGTCAGAATTTTAAAAAACAGGAAATATTTCAAAACGGTAGCAAATATTTAAGAGGAATCATATCAACAACCTCTTCTGGAAAATCAATTTAGTACTTTGACAGAGTTGTCTTCGTCTATGTTAAACTTAGTTCTGTTAACTTTGCTAAAGCATTCTTTGCACGTTTTCTGGATCAATGCCCTTTGAACTATATTTGCTAAAATTTAAATATTTCAAAATGACATTTCAAGTTGATACATTTATTATTCATATGAAAATGAATACTTCAGCTATAGACATAAATGTAAATCATTCTAAACCCGATGTTTTTTGTAAAACAAAAAGTGGATCATTTAATACACACTATCTTACTAGAGATCAGACATTCTAAATCTGGTCAATGAAATTATTGTACTGTAAATCAAATACTTTGGATTAAAAGTGCAACCACGAAACAAAATTTTTAAAAACGCAAAAAATCTCGGGAATATTTCTTTTTCATCAAAGTGGAAACCCTGTGCTGACATACCACACTCATTTGTTCATGAAGAAAATATGCAGACTCCATATGTATTACAAGTACAACATTTCAATAACTTCCATACCAATCAAAATTATATATATATATATATATATATATATATATATATATATATATATATATATATATATATATATATATATATATATATATATATATATATATATATATAGATAGATAGATATAGATATAGATATATATATATATATATATATATATATATATATCGGTATTTTACTGATAAAACTGTTTGTGCCTTAATCTCAAATTCCACATCTGAAGTAAACTTCATATAGAAGTAAAAAAAAAAAGATAACTGAATTACCGAGGTACATATTTGTTAGTTTATTTTTCGCAAACATCAAGAATATAAAAAAATAACAAAAATAACATTAAAGTGATTTTTCTCTAATCCAAAAATAAAAAAGAATAATAAATTACATGTTAAAAAAAAATTAACATTTAATTATTTGTTTCAAAAATACGTTTATTTTCTCCCTTCGTTATTTATATTTGCAGTTATTTTAAGTCGCTCGCGTGGCACAATGGTTAGAGTGTTTGCTCTAGAGTAAGGCGTTGATCCATACGTCGCTGGTTTGAATCCCTTTGCGGGACGTGGGGAGGTTCCTTCAGATGAGACCGTATAAACATAAATATATATATATATATATATATATATATATATATATATATATATATATATATATATATATATATATATATATATATATATATATATATATATATATTACAATAAATATAAAAGAACATAATAATGATAATAATAATAAAGAAATAAATAAAGAGGTCTTTCAAAGAATGTTACATTTTTTCAATTAAATCTAGCAAACACTGACAAGATATATTACATTTCATCTTCTTATATATTAAATATTAATATATAATATAAATTGATAGCCATACAAAATATAAATTTGTTGTTATGTTCACATTAATATTACTTTAAAAACCCTGCTTTAAAGGTATCCGAGTTACGTTGGTCTTATTCCTGATTATGCGTTTTCCCCAAAAGATATTAAATTATTCAATTTTTATGTTACTGTTTTACTAAAGGTATTCTTTTTTTTACATTTACAAATGTATAATTATTTTTTTTTTTTAGTGCGTTATGTAGACTAGTAAAAAATGGTTTGTACACAGACGATGGTATACATTTCACCGTTCGGGTTACAAACGATTTGACAATAATTAATTAATAACAACTGAACATTGAATATTTCTTTTCGGTTTATACAGTACTTGTGTAACGATTTTAAATCTAAATATGTCAAATTTTTTTTGTTAATGTGAAAGATTGCAGTTCTTAATTATTCTATCATTAATCTGTAATAATTTAAATAATATCTTAGAGATTCCGAATAGAAAATCCAGATTGTGGCCAAAGAGTGCGAGAATCTTGTTAAAGCTTGTGAGAAATATGTAAAAAGCGCTTTGTGCAGAATTTCGTGTAAACCGTGCCACCTTTCCTGCAAAGCGTTTTGTGTTTCGTGTAAACCGTACACCGTTTTGTGTAACCGTGCAGCATTTCATGCAAACCGTGCAGCGTGCGTGAACGTTAGTAGCACTTTTCAGAATCTGTTAATCTATATTTAGGCTTTATTACAAAGTACACGTATATTCACTGTTTATATCGTCACGATTCAAACAGAAAAATATAGTATTTCCTTCTATTAAAGACGATTTGTATAAAAGGCTTTACACTCCTTTCCTTGATTTAGCAAAACATAATTATATTTAATCTTCATGTTTTTTATAGGGCTGATACATTTTGTACCCATTCCCAATATCCGAAAACTTCCCACTAATAGAATACATTTCTTCAGTTGCTTGAGTATTTGTCATCTGTGGTGAATGACCTGGCTGTATGATTGCTTTTCCTGATATATTGATAGGTGGTAGTCGTCTTGGAATTCGAAGTGGTTGTGGTCTTGGAAGTGGCTGTGGTTTAGGAGCCGATAGTGGTCTAGGAACTATGGTTTCCTCAGAAGAATGTTCTACTTTTGTCATTTCTGAATCATGGATGCAAGGACTAATTGCATATAAAAATAAAGGAAGAAAGAAGGAAGCGTGTATAAGGCCAAATCCTATGACGAGGAACATTAGAATACCAAAAGAATTAAATATATAGCTTCTTGAAAATGCTAGCATACATATTCCCAACAGTGTTGAAAATGCAGCATTTACGATAGGACCACCAGACCGATCCATAGCATTTTCTAAAATTATTTTTCTACTCTCCCCGTCAACTGTAATAAATGCATGACAGATATGGACGCTAAAATCCACAGAAAAACCAACACTCATTACAAGATGGATCATGGTAATAGAACTCAAAGTGAGGTCCCAGTAGTACATAAATCCAAATATTCCAGCAAGAATACTTATAAGGGTTATACATACAATTAGTACAACTCTGAAATCTGGCATAAATATAAAAGTCACCACAAGCATAACGGCAATAGCAATGCCTACAGTTTGTAGGGTACTGGATAGGATTTGCACGTATTGTTCAAAAAATACAAAAGCTGGGGTATAAATTATGCAAGGAAGTTCGGTACTTTCTGTTATTTCACGCATGCGTTTCATAAAATTGCCTTGTTCATTCGATGTTTTCATGTTTTTGGCCTTGATATGAATTCTTGATGACAATATTTTCAAGTTAGATTTATCTAAAACTAAATCGTTTGTAAATGACTGACCAACTTGAGATCCCAAAAAACTGACAAGACCATTAACAAAGTTTGTTTCTGACGAAGAGTCATAAACCGCAGATTTTTTGTAGCTATCAAGCCAATTGATTTCAACGCTTCCGTCAATGTAATTGTCCAATTTCATCTCTGATATGACCGAGTTTAACAGATTTTCTGTTTCTGTCCTGTGATAATCTTGAACTTTTGTAACGCACAGGGTAATCATAGGTTCGGTCGTGAAATAAGTTTCGTCCCAAAGACTGTATTTGTAAAAATATGAATCCTTTGAGGCTAAGTTGAAAAGCTGTAGACCTTGCTGAAGGTTGATACAGCCATAAATTGAAGCTCCAAGATATGCAAGGAATACTAAAACGACAACTACTTTCCCTATTGTATGATTTAAAACAAAAAGAATAAACTTTTTAGGGTATTTTTCCATAGGACTTTCAACATCAAGTCTTGTTTCTGGAATTGATCCAGGAACACAAAGAAGAAAACATTTTGATTTTTCCTTATAATCTTGTTTTCTTTTCACCACTTTACAGGAGCAGAAATGTCTTTTCTCGAGGGTTCTCTGTTCATTTATTCTTATAGCCGGACTCAAAAAGAATAGTTGATTTAAATAGCAGAAGAATACAGACACCCCTGAAATGAATTAAAAAATGTGAAAATTAAAGATCATTATCTCTTTCGGTAACTATATAGTAATTTGTAACTATGGTATAAAAATGAACTGTTGTATTTATATACCTGTATAAATGCAGAAATTCCTTATACTTTTAAAAACAGAGGTTGCACCAATAACAAAAGCCAATAAGTCTGTAATGGACGTAATGGTAATAGCTACTCCACTCTTTTTCATCATAAACATCATTCTTTCTTTTATTGAAGCTTTAGAAAGTGGAGGGGCGTCCGCCATTCCAGACATAAGGATGAACATATCGTCAATCCCAATGCCTAAAAAATACATATTTAAATCCCTAAAAAATACATATTTAAATATGTACCTCTCAAAAATTCTAGGCTAAAGATACATTCATTTCATAAAAATCTACTAAGACTGCAACTCGGTTACAAGTATGTTAAAAAAATACTCTACCATGCATAGAAATAGTGATAAAATTTCAAATGAAATTAAATTTCAAATGTTCATATATGCATATATGTATATATTGTTAATTTCAGGCATGTATATTATATCTCCAAAATTTCAACTACTCACCAACAACCAAAAAGGGCATAACACCAACAATATTTGTGAATTCCACTCCAATAGCACTGACAAATCCAAATGCTGAAGCAATGGCCAAAACTGGTGCAAGGATCCCTGCAAACCCTAAATTCATACGATTAGCCACGTTGTTACAGTTAATGGTCAATGAGGCAATTGAGGCATATACCATCATTAGAGTGAATGTAACTGAGAATAATTTTATGTCGCTATTTGTGTTTTTGTTTAGCTCGGTTTCAAGAGAATCTGAGAATGTATAAGCAATGTCTGTCAGATTTGTCTGTAGGTTTTCAAGTCTGGACACAAAAGCCTTTTCCCATGATTTTGAAAGTTCTTTCATTGATGCATTGGTTTGTTTCAGATAGTACTGTAATTTAACGCCAATAGTGGAAGTCAACATTCCGTTTTTCGAAACAGCTTTGGCAAGAAAAGGAGTAAGTGTGTTTTGTCCAAAGAAAGGATACGTAACGTTATTAATCACTAAATTTTCTTGAAATGCTTGTGATAAAATGGTAGATCCGGAAATCGCCTGGAGAGGATCCGATCCTGCAGATAAGTCACTATAGGTGTACACAGTTCCGGAAGAATCCGATACAGTAATAGAGGTATTTATGACATTGTGAATGCTGTTTATTTCGTCCACATAAGCTTGTGTCTTAATATCTGTCTTTTGTTTTGAAATGATCATCACACTGCCATATAATCCAAAGTCGGTGAGTTGATATGAACGAAAATGGCTGTCTGTTGGGTCTCCATATAGGTTTCGTATTTCTGATCGGTCTTGTATTGCTTGGCTATTCATAGGGGTATAAAGTATTTCGGCATCATTTTCTACTTCAATTCTAATCAATCCAATAGTCCAAAGCAAGTTGAAAACAATGCAGCAAATCATTATTCGAACAGGATAGTTCGAAATGAAGGCACCAAGTCTGGCAAAGGATTTGTGCAGTATTTCCTCCCATCGTGTGTGGCATTTCTTGCAACACAAGCTACAGCTACATGACATTTTAGCCTGAAAATATGAAAATAGCACATACATAAATAATAAGCAGTCTTTTTCGAGTTTCTGTAGTTTGTTCAGAAATTTCACTTCAAGTGCAGTCTTGTCACGTGTACATTTTATTCCTTGTATTACCAAGATCCTCATCTTCATAAAGTATGTGATGCTTTGCCACAAATAAAAGTTTTAAAAAAGGATATGGTATCAAATGATGGTCAAATGAATTTTTAGCAAAGGTAATTTCAGGGTCACCTTTTTTTCTCTCAACTTTCTTCACTTAAGCGTTTTAAATCTTTAATGTAATTCTCAAGAATATTACATCTGTCCTTAAGAAAAATACCTCATTAGATTTTTCGTAAGTTCGTAAGATACACAACCCTCAAAGAGGTATTACTCTATCATTCATGTAAAGAAAACAATAAATATCTTTGGATTCATATGTAGCTTGTTTTTCTCTAGAATTACTCTGCTGATTTTATATTACTTGTGAATTTTTAGCAATGAAATGTCTGTATTGTATTACCAAATACCTCATACTACAATTAATAAAATGTTACGTTTGGTTTTGCTTGTTTGTTTTTTTAAATTTTTTTTATTTCATTTATTTATTTTTACATTTTTTGTTCTTTATTGGTTTTTTTTTCCCTTTTCCTTTATTTTCTTTCTTTCTTTATTAATTAATAATTATTATTATCATCATCATCCTCATCGTCATCATCATCATTATAATTATATTTTTGTTTGTTTAACTATTTTCCCTGTTATATTTATTTATTTATTTATTTATTTATTTATTTATTTATTTATTTATTTATTTATTTTATATCTTTGTCAAGAGACATATTGTTACAAACGGATTGTCTGGCATTAAAGGATTTTTCATTAATTAATTTTGATCATGAATAGCAAAGTAGTTAAAGATCAAAATAACATCTGATAGAAATGAAATTTTAAGTACATATACTTTTAACATTTAAATTCTATACGTATTTCTTTATTAACATTGATTTTATTTATTTATTTCTGATTGCAGAAAATATGCAAGAAAATATTGGAACTGTTGGAATTTTAATTGTATAGAATGATATGGCATTTTATCATATCACCAATTAGAAAAAAATATATATTTCCTATATAATCTTTGTGAGATCTATGGTTTCATTAAACATTTCAAATTTGCAGCTGTTAGAGAATCTATAATTTGCATTTATTGTTAAACTCTGAAGGGTTTCGGAAAAATTAATTTCGGTACGGTCGTTTAGAAAAAGATTTGGACTTCATGTTTAACTCAATGTAGAGCTCTTCAAAGAACAAGTGAATATTTTAAGTTGAAATGAAAGCGAAGCACTGGTATTTTCAATTCCTTTGTAGATATTTATATATTACGTGCTCATATATTACCTTTTCAGGTATTCTATAATGCTTGTAAGTAGCTGAGTCCCACAAAATGAAGGAATTACCTTACCTTTATTGAGATATTAACCAAGTAACACCGAGCGTGGATTTAAAATCTTTACTTCTACATTTTACTCCGAATCTCACATGAGGAAAACAGAAACTTTCTTTGTCTGTTTCAACGTGGTTTGTTAGTAGCTTGAAGCTCTGAAAGATCCCGGTTTCCAAGGAAAACTCCTGACTGCTAAACTGATATAAAAATATCGATTTCTCAGAATCGCATGACGTTTATCGAGGCGGATACGTGTCCAGTTTAAACCAATTCCTTCCTAGTGCTTCCACGCTTCAATGATTTAGGTAACCTAGTTTCAAGGTATGGATAATGTTGGGTATTGTTCATGTAAACTACTGTTTTTTACAAGCAGAAAGCACAATATATTATTGTTAATCAATATATTAGTTCAAAGTAAAAAAAAAATATGGTATTTATCAATTGATTTCATATATTGTCTGTAAGCTGCTGTAAAAAAAAATATAATAATACTTTTCTTACATTTACTCCATCGAGGTGTCATATTTCAAAAAAAAATTAGATAATTAGTAAGAGTAACGGTATGTTTGCCTATTATATATTAAATTTTTATAATTTATTATATTAGCATAACTTCCTTAGCATTTGTCCCCCTACTGTTGTTAAGTGTTTCAACTAAACGAATTTGTAAAACTTTTCCGTATGAACAGGAATGCAAAGGCAAATGTATGTCTATACATGTATTTTATATAACGACTTAATGCGTTTGTATGTATATGTATATATATATATATATATAAATCAGTAAACATAAATGCTTTTAAATATTTTTTCTAGCAAACAGATGATATGTACATGGATCTTGTTGTTAAAAAAATCATCTTAATTATGATGCAACGAGGTTTTATACTTTTATACCAATGGAAAAGGCAAAGATGATGAACAGTGATCAGTCTCATTAATCCAGTAAACAAAACGAAAATCAAGAGATGACGTCGGTGTTTCATTAATCGCTAATGAATAAACAAGTAATATAAGACTACTCCTCTTTATGAAGCTAATAACTTTTTTTATTTACACAAACGCTGGGTTGTAATCGTAAAAAAATATATAAAACCAAATAAATTTTGAACTTCTTATTCTTTCGAAAGGAAGGGAGTCCTTTAATGGTCCTACGCCACGATCGTCAGGCAGCTTACTTCTTGAGCTTATGCGTACTGACAACCGTAACGTAGTATTTCTTTTTTAAGGCCTAACTTTCATACATACTTTTTGTAAAGTATGTAGATTCAAAGATATTAATTGAAAATGTTGTCCTACAAAGTATATTTACAAGCAAGATTTTAATCCAACATAGAGACATGCAGTTCAATAAGAAAAGTTGTTTGAATCTTTTTTTAATTCTTTTGTCAAGATGTGTTTGGCTTTTCTGTTATGATACTTTTGCCAAGCACCTAATACACAACTTGATGATTACCTGTTCATAAGATCTTCATTTCTTTAAAATATTAGAGTTTGTGCTGTTAAGTAGTTACATGTATCATTTTTTAAATTTCTTTTGGCGTCTTTAATTTTGGGTGTTTTTAAACACATTCATGCACAACCTATTCAAGCAAAGTTTACCAACATTTTCCTTCAATTTTTAAAAATGTACGGTAACCAATCATTTCGCACCCAAAGACAGTTTTGCATCAAAACACGTTTCAAGCTAAGACGATTAAGGAATCTGATACCATCCTTACCCTATTCATTCAATAGAACACAGACCTTGCACTGGAGCGAAACGTTCGCATTTAAGCGTACTATATATTGCTTGAGTCAGACAAGCTATTAGGAAAGCCATTACTTGTTCAAAGTATTTTAATGTTAAGTATTTAACATTATCAGAAACCTGTTTAAATTTGGTTAGTTTTTTGACAATTCCTGCACATTCTTATTAAGGTAAATATTACATTTCCTTTATTCACGAAAAGGTTCTGAATAGCAGTAAAATTTGCTTTGAAGATTCTTATTTACCACATTTCGTTGGTTTTACTTAACATTTCAACCCGTTCATACAATACAAAAAGAATACAATATAAACTTTAATTTTGTTTAAATTTTGTGACGTATTCTTTTGTCTTTAGTACATTCAGTGTCTATGATGAGCGGTAAAGTCTTGGCTTTCACAAATTTTATAGCTTTAAGCTCAGATATGTGTATGTACGTGTGTTAATCCAGCAGAACAAAATAAAGCAGGCGGACTCAGATCATTACAATAAACTGCTTGACTGACCATATCACTATAATAAACTAAATTGTGTTAATAAGTTTTCTGTACCTTTGTATGTACATATATTTGTGTGTGTGTGTATATATATATTGCTTTTATTTTAATAGTGGTTTCAGCAACGTGACTTTTTAAATAAATAAATATATATATATATATATATATATATATATATATATATATATATATATATATATATATATATATATATATATATATATATATATATATATATATATATATATATATATATATATATAAAGAAAAAAAAAAAAAAAGCAAGTTATCGATAGTTCTATTTTCATATATAATTTTGCAATAGAGTAATCATACCAAAAATAAAATAAGAAAATGAAACGAATTTAGTAAGATTAAAAATTGCCAAAACGTTAAAGCTTGTATACTAACACGATCACCCACATTTTACAAATGGTTGATTGATTGTTATTGTTTAAACGCCGGGTCGGCAATTATATTTCAGCCATATTTCGGCGGGACACATTTCACAAAGAATCAATTAAGACCGTTACACAAATAAATCAGTTTGTCATCAATAAGGTCACAGCTGTATTGTATCTCCATTGCTGTTTTTAAGAGCTGAGTTTCACCTGTAATGACTGTCTGCAAAATCAGATACAATAATTATCATATTATTCAATTTTACTTACTTTTTACAGGACTGATTTCGCAGATTAAGAATTTAAGTAAAGTGTTATATTTTTGATCATAAAATTAATACTAACTTAGACAATCATTTCTGGGGTCTTTATTTTAAAGAGTTTCCAAATATTTTAATATCCGAAAGAAATATTTACAGGATGGCATGATTTGGGGGGGGGGGGTCTGATTTTTTTTTTATTTATTGGATTCCTTCTGTTTTTTTTTTTTCAAGGAAAAAAGCATTATCATTGAATATTTAAGGGGTTTTCTTTTTGTTTTCTTTTTCAGCACGTTTGGGAGGTAAGGGAGTTTTCTTTCATAATTCATATTAAGGTGTCTTTATAATTATTATTATTATTTAATAGAGAAGTTGAGATTTCATACGTGTACGATTAGGTCCAGTAGGGGAATTCCCTAAATTCCTCGCGTATTACGTCACCAGTTTTAATGATGAAAAGTTTTCTACACGTTCCTACAACTTGTAGAGTGGCATCTACACGTAAGTGTAAACTTGTAGCATTTATAATAACAAAATAGTCAATTTATGTGTGAAAACGTAACTGTTGTACATTATTTAAGAAGATTAGTTTCATGAGCACACATTTTTACCATATT